AAAGACTCCAATGATATGCAAGGCTATTTGGCTTGCTGGTTTATTGCCTTTGCAAGAAGCATTACTAATAGTGTATCCTTATGTTCCAAGTTTTAGCAGTTGTTTTTAGTTACTTAGCTAATCATTCTAGATAAGCACCTTACAAGCATGTGGATAAGCGATCAGAACCATTTTATTACCTTCCAGTTCTAGTTCTTACTACGGTGCTAGACCATAACTAAGTTAGTACCGTCTCAAAGAAATAGCCATTCACGAATCAATGTATCCCAACTGGGTACCCCGAAAAACACACCCCACTTGTACCCCAGGCACAAACGGAACCAACTCGTTCCACTCTTGTCAAGGGGTTTAGGTCCCCGTCCAAACTTGGACTCCAAGCCTCCAACACCTGAGACCCCGTCTCAGTATGGTGCTTAGACCTCCACCTAATACCCACCCCTAAAAGTCGGTCCGTAAAGAGCCGAAACCCATGATAAGAGAGTAACAAGTCTTCCCGCTCTCATAAGCAAGAATGTGCTCAGGATAATAAGTCTATGATCTGACTACCATCCACAGCAATGGACGGTCCTCAAACGACACAGGTGAAATAAGTGCAATCCAAGCCTTGCTTGAATGCTTAACCAAGTTCAGATCCAAAAGTACCATTCCGTCCGGTCTTCAATTATCATCCCCATATATATTCCATGTGATGGTAATATAATAATAACACAATAACATATTTCCTATCTATCACGAGTGACACTCGATTTCTATCGGATCCTATAACATAGCAATCTATATGATCCTATCATACTAGTAAGACACATAGGATAAGGATAAATATATGTAAGTGGGTTTCATTCAACTCATTTAAACGTAATACACAAGCATAACATAAAGTATAAAAATAGGGGTTATACACCGGGGCTTGCCTAGACAAGATGTAACCAATGATTAGCACTCTATTATGGCGACACGATCACCAAGGTACCATATTTTCTGCTACTCCAAATAACTCCGGAAGCCCTCGTTGTTCCTATTACACACGTGGATGCAACGCAGAAACGTAATTAACCAACGACAACCACAACTCTTAAAATATGTTGATGCTTCTCAAGCTAACGAGCTAGCTCTAACAACTAACGTACTAGGCTACGTATCCACGTTGTCGAGTAAGGCATCGTTTCTCAAAAAATGTTCTAGTTTTACAATCCCATTGTGTTTTGGTGTTTTATCGATTAAACATATATATTTGAACTGGAACTCATTTAGCTACCTTAGCAAACTGATTATTATAGAGCTACAAAAATTACAGTGAGCACCTAATAATGTTAGAAATTTACTATAAAAGTTTTAGAGCCAACACTATCACTAATTTATTACAACAATTCCTACAAGTTTATATTTTAACAATATTAAGCACCTAAAATTAATTAGATCACTCTTAAAAATACTTATGAATCTATGTAAACCAATTATACTAATAGATAGATCATGATTTTAGGAACCTAACAAATTTAGTTTCATAATTTTTGGTTAACTACACAAATCTATATTGAATTTACAAGTTTACCTTGAAAATTAAATTAGAAAACGTTTTAGAAAAAGAAAAGGGCCGATGGCCATCGATTCGGCCTAGTAGCCCCGCGAGGGCGCGGCTGCACGCATGTCACGGCGACCTAGTACAGCCCAAGGCCAGGGGCGCCCTCGCGCGTTGACTGTTTTGCAGAAAAACCCTAAGCTTCTAGAGATTAATGCAAATGTTATATACACTATTCCTACCGACAGTGGTTTTGCGATCAAGCCCTCGGACGTTTTCATCCTCACCACGAAGAGGTCCTTGGAATCCCCGTGCTCGCCGGCACGGAGGCCGACAGCATAAGGCAGCTATGCCGGGCAACCTAGGCTTGCTACGACGGGAGTAAGGGGTCGACCACCATCTACGGCTAAACACGCAAGGTTGGGTGGTGGTTAGGGACTCAGGGACACACTGACGCAAGCTGTAGTGGCGAGCGGCTACCCACGGCGGTGGCACGGCTGTTCCAACGAGCTAGGGCCCTAACGGAGGGGTGAAGACGACGGGAAGCATCAGAACTCTACGTGGACCATGCTGCAGTGACGGTTGAACCCGAGGAGTGCTGAGGTGGTCTGGCCACGTGCCCATGCCTCGCGGTGACGCTCCGAGCGCGACACCAACATGTCATCGCACCCACGATGGAAACCCGGACCAACCTAACGCCAAGCACCAGCTAGAGGGGATCAAGACGAGTCCAAAAACATGACCAATGGAGTCTTTTCCCCACGGGTTGGGACTTACCCCCAACCCACTGGCCGTGGCAGAGCTCTTGGCCGACGACGAGCAAAACCCAAAATTGGCCGCAGACGGACCACTGTTGGACTTGACGAGAATGGAGCACCTAGCTAACTTCCTCTGCTTCTCAATGATGTGAGGAATTAGGTCGGGAAGCTTTGAGTTGGTGATTATGAAGGGGAAATGAGAGGCCAGCAGTTCGCCCAAGTCGATCGGACGGCTCGGGCCACTGCCGAGAGATGGGTAGTGAGCAGCAGGATGCCCCACGCGGTTTAGGCCGACTCCATCACGAACGATGGACCCAGATTTCATTCAAACATATCCGGTAAGAGCTCCCCGAACCCATCACCCAAGCCATCGGGGTCGTTTTACCAAACCCCACTTTACCATTCCAGTGCATGAGCATTCATTCATCCATTCTCATATATCCAAGCATCGCATATGCAATTATTGCATCACAACGCTTCACGTCGCATCACGAAGCGGTAGTCGTCTTATTCGATATGAGTGGCGGCCGACCAAGGTTCGAAGGCTGGCCCGTGAAGGGCTCGAGGCCACCTCGCGTCGAACAGAGCTAGTGGAGAAAACGCAGATGAGCCCCAGCGGCCTTCGCCCGACCCGCTCAAAAGCGGACAGGGTTATCTCAACCTTCTCGTTCGATCCTAACCTCGAGCCATGCCCATAGAATCTCCATCGAGGGGAGGCCAATGGGGCACCTGAGTCGGTCTTAGGAACGACTCGGGCATCTGCCAGGAGGCGGGTTAAGGAGCAGTGGAATGCCACATGAAGGCTATGCCAACCCTGTCATGAACGACGAACCCGGATTCTACTCGGACATGCCCATTAGCGAGCTCATCGAGCGCGACACTCGAGCCATCGAGGCAAGTGTCGTTAACTCAACCCCTTCGGTTGCGGAAACCACGGACGGGGCGACGCATAAAACTCGGCTGACCCCTACCGAGCCAAATGGGGCTTGGGGGCTCGAGCCGCCTAACCCCGACTTGGGAATCCGACCGACCGAGTTTCGAAGGCCGGCCCACGAAGGGCTCGAGGCCGCCTCGCGTCAAACAGAGCCAGGAGAGAAAACGCAGATGAGCCCTAGCGGCTTTTGCTCGACCCGCTCAGAAGTGGACAGGGTCATCTCGACCTTCTCGTTCGATCCTAACCTCGAGCCAAGCTCACATAATCTCCATCGAGGGAAGGCCTGCGGACCACCTGAATCGATTTCCGGAACGACTTAGGCATCTACCAAAAGGCGGGTTAAGGAGCAGTGGAATACCACATGAGGGCTATGCCGACCCCGTCACGAACGACGGACCTGGATTCCACTCGGACATGCCCGTTAGCAAGCTCACCGAGCGCGACACTCGAGCCATCGAGGCAAGTGACGTTAGCTCAACCCCTCCGGTTGCGGAAACCGCGGACGGGGTGACGATCACAAAGATGAGCCAACCCTCGACCGGACCCCCGCTACGCGCGGGGGCTCGATGAAAGTTGGACTCACAAGAAGACCGAATGCGCAGTCGCAGAACGATGGCTCAGATCCTAGGGAGGGGGTATGTACGAAAACTAATAATAACGTTTCTAAAATAAGAGACGTTTTCTCCTACTAAGTTTCGATATCCTCTCTTGGATCTTTAGTGAAACCCGACTCCGACAACGACAAGGGGTCGGGTCTCACTCGGGGGCTGATAAGGTATATATATATCATTTCTAAAACAGTCGCCGTGCCCGACCCCTTCCTCACGTCGAGACCTAGAAGCAAGGGTTGCGGAAATGAACGCTGAGTAAAACTGGTCGGACTACAAGAAACCTACGCCCCAACGACTACAACACTCTTGCTTATCAGCGTGATCAGAGTTTTCCGCCCACACCTCGAACTCTACGGTCTTAACAACAGGAAGGGTCAGAACACATTAACCCCTCTTTTACACATAAAAAGAAAGAAAGAACAAATTTGTTCAAACGAAATAACACGCTTGTTTAAACGAAACACAAGGGTCGGAACTTGTCCGCTTATTACAAAAATGACTGCCCGACCTATTTAACTAACTAGCCTCTCCAGGGAAGAACTATGCCTTCTATCCTGTCCGCCAGGTCCTGTGAAAGGGGAGCCACTGCCGTTTCCATCTCCTCCAACTCATGGACTTTATAACCGGGCGCGTAGCCGTGGCTCATTGCCTCCAGATCGATGCTGTCCCCATAATGAGAACGAGCAATCATGAAGGACTGATTGACCCCGGCGCGAAGGGCATTCCTCTCGAACTGGCGCACCCGAGCCGTGATCTCGACGGCACGAGCCGTGAGCAAGCTGGTCCCCTCCGACCACACCACCTCAAGGTCGTCACAGACCACTCCAAGGGCGGCGCTCAGGATACCGAGCTCGTCACTCTCCGCCTGAAGATTTCTCCCCACCTCAGCGAGATCCACAGCCAGCCCCGCAGAAACGCTCTCGGCCTCCAGCTTCCGGGTCGTCGCGCTCTCGAGCTCGGCCTGGAGGGAGCCAACCTTTTGCTGCGCGTCGTCGCGCTCTCGACAGGCCTGGTCACGCTCTCGGATGAATCAATGTTGATGACCATTAGCTCCTCCTCTTCGGGTACTCTAGTATTGGTCTCCGACAATGACCTTGCTGCATAATGCATCCTTTATCTAAGACGAACATGTTTTCGTTCCCTTTTGACCTGTCTCTATTTTTGGCTTGAAGAAAGAGATGAGGACGCTATGGGAGGCCACCGATACCTATATTAAGATCAGTCCCTTCATGTCAGCTAACAAAATCAAGAAGCCGATCCTACTGATTCATGGAGAAGATGACAGCAAAGTAACAACATCAATGCAGGTAGCAACAATAGCTTATGGGATATTTGAGTACTGAACGTTTCATTTTTTTTCTATGGGTTTGGTCGCTATTCTAGAACTATAATCTTTGTATATGTTTGCAGTCAAGTCAGTTTTACGATGCCTTGAAGGGTCATGGGGTGCCATGCCGTCTTGTGATTCTCCCATGTGAGCAGCACCAATATGCTGCAAGAGAGAGCATTATGCATATAATCTGGGAGACTGACAGGTGGCTACAGAAGTATTGTGCAAATGATCGTGGGGGCAACAAGGTTATGGAAGCCAATGTTGACACATCCCAGTCACCTTCAGAAGCTGTACTAGATAGTAAAGCTTTGACCTTAAACTTCACCAAGATTTCTAGTTTGGTAAGGAACTTAAGTGCTTTTTTTGTTACTATAGACATATGGCACTTTTCGTGTGGCTTTAAGCCTGCAAATGAGAACGTGTATAGCATAGTGGTAGGGATGCTGAAGTGCAACCTACAGGTCAGGAGTTTGACTTCCCATTCTCAAAAAGGGCCACTCGCTATGCTATTTTCCATTGAAATACATGATCCACTGATAGTTGCAGCATGATACGCGGCCGTAGGTACGTCCTCGTCGTCAGTTGCACGTCCTGGATATCCGGGTTCGTGGCCTTTTCTCAACCCTGCGGGAGAGAAGTTTCTATCTTTCCATCAATGCCTTGGGGGAGGCTTTCCCCTAGGGGTCGATTTTGTTTTGAGCCTGCAACTATGTCTGGATGAGTTTATTGCCGTTTGAGTTTGGATTAACATGTATGAAATATTTTTTTGGGTAAATACTAAATAGTGTGTAAAGTGCATGTTTGCCTTTCTGCAACATGCTGTTATTGATCTGGGCATTCTGAGTTATTGAAATCTAGGTTGAAATAACATTGTATTGAGTGCTTCGGTTGCATAATTCGATGTATCGGTTAGGCATTTGTGGTTAGTTGAGGAATCTGATGTCATGTTATTTTGCAGATCAAGTTGATATGGTTGGCATTTGCTCGGTTTGTTTCTAGCAAGTCCAAAAAGAGTATGCAGTAGTACTGATTGGTTTAAAATCATCTTTTGTGGCGCCACATGAATCTTTCTTCAGTGCTGAGATCAGGAAAGTTTCGAGTCATCGTCACTATTATGCTCTTCTAAAAGTAAACTCTATGTCGGGAGTCATACTTGTACACATCATTTGATGTATTATCTCTGATATTTTTCTCTGATATTTTGGTAGTTCTCCGGAAGCGTTAATATGTAATGCTATCTCTGTTGTACCATTGAGCTCGGAACGTACAAATGTAAGACCAGAAGGCAGAGGCACCACAGTAATAAATGGGTTCATTTCCAAGGATTAGTTTAACTCTGTCAAGGTTTATTTTACCCTGACTTGATCCTCAGTCATAAGGAGCATGATTAAAGTCTATATTTCAGTTTCTGAATTTGATTTTCCCATGCACTCTTGATGCTGACATGAAGGCATAGGCCAATAATTTTTGTTGACTTCAAAAAACAGAACAACTTTTTTGAGGGAGGTAAATACTCGTAGAGAAGAATTATTGAACAAAGCTACGTGTTCTGTGGTGCTGCTTCTGCCGGCCATAGCAACAGCAGGTGCTCAGATTCAATTAATCAATTCCATCACCAGCATGGGAAATTCATGATTTTCCAACTTGGCTGATTTGTCATGATTGAAAGTATTATTGTCTGATTTGTTATGAGAGAAAAATATTATTCGTTGGTTGAAAAAATACGACTTATAAGTCAAACGAACAGGACGTTAGTCGCCTATTGCCCTTCTTGCTCGCCTTTTTCTATCTGATCCTAGCTTTTATATATATATATATATATATAGACACACTCTCACCTAGATTTACATGACCGAGCTTTCTAACGTGGTGCCGGGGGTTTTCTTAGCGGGTTAAAGAAGCGGACCCGTTAGTATATTTTAAATATAAATATATTAGCCGTTCGGTTGGTTGATTCGTATCGTTGCTGGTTCGTTTATATGAGAGGAAGTACTGCTAGTTGGTTCATGTAAATAGTGCTCATGTGAGGAAGCTGACCAGCCAGCCCCAGGCGAACAGGGCAGATCTGCTCCTTCCCATCCGTCACTTTCCCATCGGGACGGAAACTGACCTGCGGCCGCCCTCCATTCACCGTGGAGCACGAACCCTCCAAATCTCCCTGTGGGTAAAGGTAATCATTTAACGAGGCAAGATTAATCTCTGGTTCATTCTCGTTGATATGAACACAGTAGCTGATGGGACGACGTCGATTTTGTGATATCTGCCGACTAAATAAGTGGAAGGGCAAAAACCTTCTCTCGTTTCATCACTAGGCGGCACCCGCTTTCTTAGGCGACGGCCCAGGCATGTTTGTTCGGTTGGCTAGTTCGTTTATGTGAGAGAAAAATAATGCTGATTGATATACGTAAATAGTAGCCATATGATGAAGGGCTGGCCAGCCAGCCCAGCCAACCCGAGCCCAACGATCAGGCTGGAGGCTGGCGTCTCTTCTCCGGCGGCGGCGACTGGCCACCAGCACCAGACAAACAGGTAAAAACAGGAATCCGATCTGCCAACAGACTTACATATCCAAATTAGCAAAAAGTAGTGGCCTTTATTTAGTTGGCGAATTTTTTTGGAAAATAGTACTGTAACACTTTCGTTATTATTTGATAATTAGTGTTCAATTATAGTCTAATTAGATTTAAAAGATTCGTCTCGTGAATTTCGTCTAAACTGTGTAATTAGTTTTATTTTTTATTTATATTTAATGTTTTATGCATGCGTCCAAAGATTCGATGTGACAAAAAATCTTGAAAAATTTTATAAAATTTTGGGAACTAAGTATATATATACATTAATAACTACTCGAACACGCTCTGATTATTTCCTTTCTTGCCAATATTAAATTCAGGTCCTCGAGTTGCTCCCCTAATTCATCTGCTGGCATCGCCCCTAGCTGACAGGAAAACGTGGCATGCAGATCTGTAATTTCTCTCTCTGTGATTAGGAACATCCGTCGATGGGATCCAGGTATAGTTGAGAAAGTCCTAATCCTTACTGCAGTAATCGATTTGTTTATTCCAATCTAAACTCGTGGCCGCAACTTTTGCCGTAGTTTATCATTTATATTCTTTATGAACCAGGTAGCAGATTGCATCTCGAGGAAGCTACAGCCCTATTCGTTTGTCTGGACTTATTTGGCTGATAAGTACATCTAAAAATATTGTTGGCTGATTTAGTGTGAAAGAAAAATATTATTCGTTGGCTGATAAGATATAACTTATAAGACAAATACAATCGAAGCCAATAGGCTATACGTCTGCATTCACCTATGTCGTCCGCCGGTCCGTGTCCATGGTTCATCCCTGCCACGACCATAAACCATTCGGTGCACCGGCGATCAAAAGCAAACTGAGAGATAAATACTAGTAGTAAAATAATATACTCGTAAATAATGTATGAACCGATACTCGTGTCCAATAAAAGGTATCTACATATACATATAGGCTTTCTGTTCGCGAGAGAAATTTGGAGGAATCTATGAGAGCGTAAACAGTGATTTTCGTCTATGAACAGTGAGTTCTTGCTGTTTTTCAGTGCAGCCGAACGGCGCCATACTCATTCGTAAAAAAATATGTACATATACTGAGCATACTTCCGTGTATCTACATATATATACATATACTCATTTGTCAAAAAAGTATCTACATGTACATTCTAGATAGAGTATGTACTAATGCTAGCTCCTGTCAAAAGTATGTACGCATACTAGCATGATCGTGTCAATGTTTGTGTACTGATACTCGTGTCAAAAAAAGTATGTCCACGTGCTAGCATACTATTTTTCTCCTAAAAACGGTTCGTATACTCTATAATAAAATTTCATGAGTATATGGACGTACTCCCAAATATACGCCAAGTATATGGATATACACACCCAAGTATATGGATATACTAAAATAATCCCCTGAGTATATGGATATACTCCCAAGTACAAGTATACAAATATACTTATTTTCTTATTAAGTATGTGTCCATACTTTATTCACACAAAAGTATATACGTGAGTAATGAATTTAGTATCCACTTTATTTAAAAGAAGCTAACAAACTCACGCCACAAAATATGGACGTGTAACGTCTAGTGGTCTCTTTGTGCGCATGCAAGCGGACACTGCAATTAGTCAAAAAGAGTAGTGCTTAACGGGTTTTGATGGTGGACATATATCAATAAGCCTAGTGGGAGTAACTATTTCGGGAGTATAGAAAAATATATATATATATATATATATAGAGAGAGAGAGAGAGTATACTTAGTAGCCAGCTACAAAATAAGTTATTTTGTAGCCACCTCCATTTACGATAATTTTATATACTAATTTACGATAATGTCAACACATATTTACGATAGTTGAGTTACTATATCACATGGGGATATTTATCATAACATTATAGTAAACCACTTAGTAAGGAGTTATATGAACTACTACCCTGTAGCTGGTTATAAAATAATTTATTCTGTAGCCACTTTGAGTTACGATAATTACTATGTTAATTTATGAGATCATAGTAACTCCTTATGAAGTGGTTTACTATAACGTTATGGTAAATATCCCTATATGATATAGTAACCCAACTCTCGGAAATATGTATTGATATTATTGTAAATTAGTATATAAAATTATCGTAAATGGAGGTGGCTACAGAATAACTTATTTTGTAGCTGGCTACTGAATATACTCTCTCATATATATATAATATTATCTTTTTTTTGCGAGTGTTATCAAGTAATTGCTTTTGTGAACTCTTGTGTAACATTTGCAAAAAAAAAAGATAATATTTTGTAACCAGACAAAGATTAACACAAGAGAAGCACCGACATAACGACATGAGTAGGGACTAAAAGCAACACTGATCAGGAACCGTCCGTGCTTCAATCCGACGGTGAGAGTTGTTGCGGTCAGTCCCGCAGTCTCCTTCGTCTTCTCCCCTTCCTCCTCCCGTACCGTAGCTTGGAAGCGCCGAGAAACAGGGAGATCACCAGAAGTCCAGAGAGGGAAGGAGGAGGACCGCCCCGAAGAAGGTAGGGAGGCGCGAATGGAGAGCAGGAACGTGGTGGTGTGCGACAATGGTACCGGGGTAAGCCCTCACCTCCCTGACCCACCCCATCTCCGCTCCATTCCTAGATCCGCCGCCCGTTCATGCTCCGGATCACGGCCCAGTTTCTCGCGTACCGCCGCCGACGCAATCTGCCGCTGCATCGTCCACTGACTGGGGGAAGCCGGTTCGTGAGTCGATCGCCGGTGGCCGGGGCGGGCGGGACCGGAGGATTCGGGTGACGCTCGTGCCTGGCACGGCTGGGCGGAGGCTGGGAGCCATGGAGGACCGGAAGCGAGACACGGTTGTTTGTTGGGGCATCGGTCGCCGCAGTTAGGTAGCTCAGGGGCGTTGGATTAGGTTGAAACGACAGTTGCTGCCGCAATCCGGAATTGTTATTCACAAATAATCTCGTGCTCAGTTGTGACATTGTTCACAAGGCAAAGCTTAGGTTTACCTACAAATTATATTCAAAATTTCTGGTGAAATCTCTAGTACTTGTGTTGACACTTGACAGTTTGCTTGGGTTAAGTTCCTTTTTTTTTTCTTCATTTTTTGTTAGTGGAAAAGCACAAATTGTTTCATGCATGTCAGACCTATAGTCTGTAGAACCATGTAATTACTAGATATATTGATGCACAGAAGAAATGTCGATTCAGCCTGAGTTTTTTAGTACAAGCTAGATTCCGTGTACATGTAACATCCTGCTGAAAATCTGGTGAGCTCAATCTGTTCTCAGTTTTCGCCAGTGCTAAATACATCATACGGACAGATGCGAGGTTTGTTGAGTCTCCGATAAATAATGATTAAATGACAATGAGCCAGAATACAAAGCGGATCATTCCTTTCTCTAATTTGACACCTTTTGGTTGCAGTATGTGAAGTGTGGCTTTGCTGGTGAGAACTTTCCTACATCTGTATTCCCTTGTGTTGTCGGAAGACCACTACTTCGCTATGAGGAGTCACTTCAAGAACAAGAATTGACGGTCCGAATCTATTTTCTTACCATCTTTATGTAACTTCATGTAGGGCGGGCCTGGTGCAAGCGGTAGAGTCTTACCACCCGTGACCGGAAGGTCCTGGGTTCGAGTCGCGGTCTCCTCGCATTGCATAGGCGGGGGTAAGGCTTGCCACTGACACCCTTCTCCAGACCCCGCACAGAGCGGGAGCTCTCTGCGCTGGGTACGCCCTTTATGTAACTTCATGTTCATGAGTACATCTTATGATAGGCGCTTATGTTCGTCGCAGGATATTGTTGTTGGAGCAGCTTGTGCTGACTTGAGACATCAACTTGATGTATCATATCCTGTCACCAATGGCATCGTTCAAAATTGGGATGATATGGGCCATATTTGGGATAATGCCTTCTACAGTGAGCTCAAGGTATATCTATACTGGTATGCTTAACCCTGCTTGTAATGCCTTACCCTTTCTCTGGAAAGTATTTTCCCCTGATATCCTTAATTATACTGTATTTCCTAAGTTTCCTAGCTCTAGTTAAAGCGACACCTTTCTATTTTCTTCATTTAGGTTGATCCATCTGAGTGTAAAATCCTACTGACAGATCCACCACTCAATCCTGTGAAAAACCGAGAAAAAATGGTATGCCATTTCCTTTTATCAATTTGTCACATACTGCAACAGTTTAGTTTCTAACACCATTGCCTAACAAATTGAATCCCATGAACAGATTGAGACGATGTTCGAGAAATATAACTTTGCTGGTGTCTTCATCCAGATCCAAGCAGTTCTTTCACTGTATGCTCAAGGTCATATCTCCCTCCTCACCACGTGAACATACACAATCACATTAATACTCCACTTTACATGTATGTATATACGTTTCAGGCTTGCTAACTGGACTTGTGATAGATTCTGGTGATGGTGTTACTCATGTGGTATGAGAATAATGTTCTTCCCTATATTTGACTATGTATTATGGTTTGAAGGGGTACATTCAATTTCTAATCATGTTTGTGTTACCAACTCAAATATCATGGTAATCAGCAACATATTAACCCGGAACACCATACAATGGCATTTTAAATAGTACTCCCTCCATCCCAAATTGTAAGTCATTCCAAGAATCTTGGAGAGTCAAACTTTTTCAAGTTTGACTAAAATTATATAACAAAATAATAATATTTATCATACCAAGTAAGTATCATTAGATTTTTCATTAGTTATATTTTCATATTATACCTATTTGATGTCATCAATCTTTGTGTTTCTCTCTATAAATTTAGTCAAACTTGAAAAACTTTGACTCTCCAAGATTCTTGGAATGACTTACAATTTGGGATGGAGGGAGTATATGCCAGTCAATGAATTCAGTACGCTGTATGAAAGTGTGTAAGAATTAGGCAACTATAAATTTATAAATTAGAAATCAATCACATATGAATAGTAGTAAAAAGATATAACAACTATGTAATTGACCATTGCGTTTATCTGGTTTTACAATGACGTTTGAGTCCTCTACGCTAAGATGCTCTTTTCTTCAGCATGCCCTTTTGATATTTTTTATGTTATTTGCTTTTCATTTTTTTTTCATTACAACCATGTGATGTCATAAAACCTGTTTCCATTTAGGTTATTAGGTTTGGACCGATGAGCAATTGTCTTTATTCCTGTGCTACATGTGACTCATTTAACAAATGCTTTAATGTGAAGATTTTAATTTTAACTATTTTATTTCTATTTTCAATCTTAATTTTGTTACCTATAATCTTTTTCATGCATTCAGGTGCCTGTAGTTGATGGATACTCTTATCCTCATCTGACAAAGAGAATGAATGTAGCTGGAAGGCATATAACATCTTATCTTGTTGACCTACTCTCAAGGAGAGGGTAATACCTATCTTGCTCTGAAGATGTTTTCTTCTGCAGTTGATGCTACATTTCTTTTTCTAATTCAAAAAATTTTCCCACTTTAAAAGGTATGCTATGAACAAATCTGCTGACTTTGAGACGGTCAGAGAAATAAAAGAGAAGCTATGCTATATAAGGTAAGTTATTTTATTGTTCTTAATTATTGTTTCTATCTTGCTGTCATATATGTAGTCATGGCAGTTAAATTATGTACAGCTATGATTACAAACGAGAATACCAGTTAGGACTTGAGACCACAATCCTTGTGAAAAGTTACACTGTAAGTATGTTGCCCTGCTTGTATTTCTTCCCTGTTCCTTTTCTTACTGTAAGCTCAGTTCTTGTGATCAGCTTCCAGATGGAAGAGTTATTAAAGTGGGCACTGAACGATTTCAAGCTCCTGAAGCACTTTTCACTCCTGTAAGACTATTCCATTTCTGTTCCTGCATAGTACTATTACTGATTGCAATATGCAATTGTGTCGGCAAAGTCAGCAATAAGGTAGTATTCATGAAATATTTATTAACAGGAACTGATAGATGTTGAAGGTGATGGGATGGCAGATATGGCATTTCGTTGCATTCAGGAAATGGATATCGACAACCGGATGACGGTATACATATCTTACCAGTACCATACATTGCTGGTTCAACCTTTCAATTGTTCAAATGAAACATATGAGTTAGGACGCTAGTGGATTCAAACTTTCTGGGACTATTTCTGCCTGACCATGGTTGTATATAATTATATACTTGGGTGTAATGTTTTTTGTTTTAATATATTTGTACGGGGCCATAATACTGCATTCTTGAATATAGTAATTTGACAAGTTTAGCTATTTAAATACTACTGTTAGACTTGTGGATACTTGTCTCCCTGTTGTCTTCTTTGCAGGCAACACAACTTCAAATAACATAAATTACACAGTATAGTGCGTTTTCCGTTCTGATGCAATGGAAATGGGGTTATCCTCGGTTCGAAAAAAAAGTGTATTTAGAATGTTGAATTTATTTAAATTTATGTGATGTTTATATTCTGGCCTTAAGTCAAATTCAATAAAGGTGCTGAAACCATATCAAAATATCAACCACATTAGATTTCCTATGCTTTACATTATATCTAACCCTGCTCGGCTGTGATACTCAAATGGCTGCAACGGCTGTGGCTGTTTATTTTCTTCTACAAGGAACAGTAGATGTATGCAGGCTTTTTGCTGCAGCAAGCAGTACCAATCAGTCGTGTTGAAAAAAAGAATAGGTTGATCATGTTGTGTATCCTTTTCTCTTATTAGAATATCTGATCATGTTTTGCAGCTTTATCAACATATTGTCCTGAGTGGAGGAAGTACCATGTACCCTGGTCTGCCAAGTCGGTAAGACTATTCTTTTTAAGTCTGTAGTCATGAGGATATGCTTGTCTTCATTTGTGTTTTTTAGTTTACTACCAGCATGGAAAAATCATGAGTCTGAAACAACATTATACATACTAATTGTTTTTATTTTTGATAGCCTTCTTGGTAGTTGTCCTATAAGCACATATGGATATGATTATGTTAACTGCCTGTAATGTTTCTTATAGCGATTGTTTTCCTGGTTCATATAAGCTTCTACCCGAGTTGCATATGCTTAACAAGTTACTACTTTTTACAAGGTTGGAGAAGGAAATTCTTGATCGCTATCTTGATGTAGTTTTGAAGGGAAACAAAGATGGCCTGAAGGTAATATACATGCATTATATTTTTATGGCCTGAAGGAAATTGTTGATCGCTAGCCGAGTTGTAAGATTGTTGAAGTTCTACCTTGCATTGTTGTAATCGTTGGTCCACAGTTGTTATTCTTCTCTGTTGACCTTTACAACAAATTTCTGTTAGATAATAATCTGCGCTTCCTTTCTTACAAATAGAAGATATAAGTGCATAAACTTATTGAACTCATAGACAGAACAATCCAAATACATTTTCTGAAAGGATATGCATTCATCTCAGTATTAGCGTTTGCTCTCTGTTTCCAACTGTGACACATTGCCTCTCATTGTGCATAGAAATTACGACTGCGGATAGAGGATCCTCCTCGGAGAAAGCACATGGTGTACCTGGGAGGTGCAGTGCTTGCTGGAATCATGAAGGTAATTCTTGTATACATGCTCTCATGCAGAATCATATTACACCATGATGGATTGCTAGTAATATACTTCCCTGCGTATTGTTTGGAACCTGCAGGATGCACCTGAGTTCTGGATAACCAGGCAGGAGTACCAGGAAGAAGGTGTAGCGTGCCTAAGGAAGTGTGGACAGTCATAAGTCGCAAACGTCTGGCCACATATCATCCAATCCCACCACAGAAGAAATGGAGGGGCTCCCCATGCTGACAGAAGGGCCAGAGCTTGCAGAGCCGGCCATGGTTCGCTCGTGAAGCAAAGGTTACATGTGTAAAGAAGAGCTCAGCACTACAGCTTTGTTGTTGGTGTTGTATATTGTAGTGAGCTGTCCTGAACATGCTCGGGGATAAAACTGTACTAGGGACCTTGTTTGTTATTGCTACTCAATTCGACCTCTGTTATTGATCATCTTGTGAAGTTTTAGATATGGATCTTGAAGGCTACCTTTATTTGTATTTGTTTCCCGATTAATTTCGTTAACATGACAAAATCTATTAGCTGTCAAGTGGAATAGGGGCAAGTAGGTGGCTTCCAATTTTCCAAAATTGTCCCTAATCAGAAGCTTCGGACTGTGCTGTAGAACTAGAAGTTTTGAACTGTGTGCAGAAGGAAAAGTGGAGAATCTGATTTGGTAAATATTTACTTCATCTGATGCTGAAGCTTTGGTGACTAGATAATGTTCCATTGCATATTTAGATTACTCTGATAGGCTGCTTGCAAAGTCTTTCCCACGACACTGCATAAAAGAACTCAGAGATTAGCTTTGCAAAATGCGAAGAGTTATTCTTCTTAAAAGTTATTCTGTTCTTTTGACCTCGACTGATTTCAGTGGCATCTTATTCGTACGGTTGGCCTCAGAGAAACTTGGAAGCACTGCCTACTTTGTTATTATCTGACTAATGAACCACTTAATTACTTTGTGGATGGGCAGGACTTTTTTTTTTGACAATCGATGGGCAGGACTTTGTTTCCTTGAAGCCGTTGTGTACTGGACTTTTTGTGATATATATCTTGCCTTGTGTGTGTGTGCTGCTACTATTGCTGCTGTTTGGTTAGAAGCCAAAGTATTGTATGGTCCCTATCAACTACAAATAGTTACTTTCCTCCGTTTTCATTTACTTGTCACCGAATTTTTACTGTAGCAATTTTGACCATGCGTTTTTTTTTACAAAAGATTTTTAGATACATCAAGTTTTCACATATATAATTCTTCATTTTACATACTTGATTAATGTTATATACTTTGAAGTATCTAAGATTTTCTAGAAGAAAAAAACAGCTGGTCAAATCTGCTACAGTAAAAGGTTGGTGACAAGTAAATGAAAACGGAGGGAAGTATTTGACTGTTGTGCCATGTGACTTTGATTGGAATGGATGATGTAAGCCATATAGATAGCATGGCCTTTTTTCTCGGTTTAGATAATGTGCTGTGTCTTCATTGCTCAAATCATTATGGCCCTCTTATCTTTTTTTGGGACAGCAACAGTAGGTAGCACAAAGACAACATACATGACACATCATGCATCTTGCCAAAGCATATCTAGTATACCTAGCTCAATCCTGGGCCAACGTTTCCTCTTGAGAAATGACAAAAAATTCATTGTTAGTCATCTAATGCGGCGCTAATGTTCAGTCATGGGAATCTCATCATCTTTGCGTGCAGTGGAGAAACCAATCGATCAGGACTTGAGACTGAACACTGGCCCGGCGGCAGTCAAGGCTAGGCCAAACAAACTAGCAATCATCCATGAGAATGGCTTGATACCAACGATGTGATCTAGGTAAAAAAAACAAAAGAAAAGAAAGAAAGAAAGGGATGGCGACGGAAACAATCGGCACCACTGCTGTCTGCTCTATATGTTGATGAGCACCACAGACATTACTGGTTCTGGCATTCAGAATAATCTTCCCTTGAACCATATATTATATTCCGTCGTTCTCGCATGGTAGGCAATGCGGCAGGTCATTGTCGAGGAACCGATTCCAGCACGCATGCATTTTGAGACCTTGCACAACCACACGACGGATCGACGAAAAATTCTCCATCTCTAGCTCTAGGAGAGCTGAGAAGCCAAACAAACACAATATATATAATGTTCTGCTCTGAATTCCACTGCATATATATGCGTCCCTATCCTGTAGGTTGTGTGATCGTGGAAGACTCGTGCCCGCCACAAGCCCCTGCGTTTTTTTCTCCACACACGCAACAACACGTTCAGTACAACTTGCATTGGCGAGTGAGAGAGATCCATGCATTTCTATCAGGATATATATATATACCCCATAATAACAACAATTCAAGTTCCATGTCGTGGTTGCCTTATCTTTCTTTACTTTATATATGTCCTCTCTGGTAGGGCTTCTCAAGGGATTTCAGCTCTGGCTTTTCTAGCTTTCTTGGATCGTTGAAGCTCTACCAAACGTCCCTATCATAACCATCCAATCTAATTAATTTTTTTCGCGAACATGCCTTGGCAAGTTTTCCGTTAAAAGGATCCGATCTAATTAAATGAACGACCCACAGTTATTTAGGACTTCAGGAGTACCACAGCAAAATGCAAAGCAGTTTGAAAAGAAACATAGACCCAAGAATATATACATCCTACACTCTTTTCCATCCATGCTACCAAGACATCTGAGCTTTTGCTGTCGATGCGCCCCATATATCGCCGAAAGTCTGATCATCTGGTGTAGATCGATCGATAGGGAATAGCTATCTTCACGCGCATGCGTGTCTGCATGCGTCTTTTCATCGAAAAGTTCCATTAGAGATGCTGCCGCCTGTTGGTCAGGGATGCTGAGATGAGATCTATTCATCTACGAGCGAGCCAGAGCCAACGGCTGCGACAAGTCTGACTCTCATCAGAGAATGCATATATGGTTGTGGTTGGTTGGTTGCCCATTTCTGCACTCCAGACTCTCTTTTTTTTTTCTTTGGTTGTGTGCAGGAGGTCAAGAAGCTGGAATGGCACCCACGTTCACGTACACCTTTTCATATTTGCTTCAGCTATTTTGGTGTCTGTCTTCCAATGACTTCCAAGGGCCGGCCAACATGAACATGTATGGCAATGATCCACTTGCATTTTCGATGGCTCTCATCGCACTACAGCGACAAGCAAAAGGAGAGGAAGCCGCAGCAGCAAGCAAAGTGAGCTGAGAAAGCAACTGGAGACAGCAGCAGAGCAGACTGTGTATGATAGATGCTGTTAGCTAATTCAGAAAAGCTCCAACAAAGGTACAGGAACACAGGACCCATTGATCTTGCGTCGAGTCGTCGCATTTTTTCAGTGGATTTGGTTAGGACAATCCCTGCCAGGAAAAAGGCACAGTAACTGATCTGGCAGGGTTTCCTATTTGGCTATTTGTGATGTGGGAGCTGTTCTATTTGGTTATTCAGAGTAGGAGCCTGTTCGGCTGGTATATAAGCCGGCTGGTTTCGGCTGATTCAATAGTGTTCTGTGAGGGAGAATAAGCTGAAATAGGCTGACTTAGCTGAAAAGTCCAGTAGTTGCAGGTTGCCTTCAATTCACTCTGCTGCTGTATTATTGGCTGTTGCCTGAAACTGAAACGTTTTGACAAGTTGCTGTCGCTCTATCTTATTTGTCTGTGTTGTCCCTAGTCTCTAGGCATTTCATGATTTTTGGACACTCAAACCTGTTGATCACAGTTCGGAGACTAAATCCCTTGCAGGTTCACAGAGTTATCACTGTGGATGTATACCTGCAACCAAATCTTTTTAGCATGATCACATAGCAGCCCAGTCCTTTCATGTGGCAAGTATGTCACCATACAGCTGTTTTTTTTACAACAGTCACCATACAGCTGTTGATGCAGCCATGAAGCTGCAGAGATGCATGAATATATATTCCCTCATGAAAAAAAGGAAGAAAAAAATTTCTGAGAAGTCAACCATCCAGTAGAAAGAAATATTTTGGCTAGCCATATACCTCTAAAATCCCGATTTCCAATATGATATTTCGGCTACTCGTATCTATAAAAATAGAAAGAGTTATATATATTATGAAAGTGTTTCTAACAGTGAATCTAGTAGCATCAACCTTGCGTTGTGGATCTTTTACATAATTTTATATAATATCATCAATAATTGTCACTATAACTTATTATTAGGACAAACTTGTATATATGTCATGGGGAAGTAACTTGTAACAGGCTGTGATGCACTCCCTCGGTTCCAAAAAAATGTAATTTAAAAATAGTGCTCGGTCGAACTATTTTAAATTTAACTAAATTTATATAATAAGATATACTTATTTGAGTCTCAAACGTTGATACTTTTTCATAAACTTAGTAAAACTTAAATCGGTTTAACTCTGACTAAACCTAGAATTACATCTTTTCTGGGATGGAGATGGAGGTAGTACTTCTCCTATGCTATATCAGTGACGATCACTCTTTTTAAAATGTAGTATGTAGGGCTGTGGTTAGCTAGGCTTCGTATCAGATTGGATACCTCGAGGAACCAGAACAACTTTACTAATCTTGTCGGTAACAAGGAAGAGATTCCTGCTATATGTCATCATAATCCTGTAGTGATAATGTCATCATAATCCTGTAGTGATGTTGCCATAGGTACTGAACATAATAATATATCTAATATGTGCCATGCATATACTGATCTTGCTAGGTGCTGTTTTCCCCCTTGTAGAATAATAAATCTGAGAGAACCTCTTTTGAGCAACATAATCTACCACTAGCATTTTCCTGTGGCCACTACAGTAACAGTGTCGCCAGTTTTCACAAAAAATGGTTTTAGATTTATATATTTTCGTACAAAGAAGTGCAGGAAAATGAGAGGAGAGAGAGAGAGAGAGAGAGCTGTTCACCAGCAATAACGACACCTCAACAGTACGGAGCATTATAGAAAAAAATGTGTCAGTGTGTGCTTGTAGGATCTATGCATGCTGCCACTGTAACCCTAGCTAGCAAAGGTATAGGGTCCTCACGACACCATGGGACACATAAGGTGAAGCTCGCTCCCAGCATTCTTGCCCGACAAAGGCTTTGGCATGCTCATGCGCTCTTCTTTTACACATGCTCATGATATTTTTTTTCCTACTTAACACTGTCGTACATGTGGGGTGGTAATAATCACAGACAATGAGGGCCACATTTTAGTGGTGG